TTCGATAGAATAATACTAATATTAGTATATTTATATACTAGTAGAATAAAATTTAGACTTTAGAGTAATTATTAATACTAATCGGGTATATTTTCCACATTCAGGGGAGTACGTTTATGTTTCTGCTTTATGAATATGATATTTTTTGGACATTTCTAATAATATCCAGTTTTATTCCTATTTTGGCATTTCTAATTTCTGGAATTTTAGCCCCGATTAACAAGGGACCGGAGAAACTTTCTAGTTATGAATCGGGAATAGAACCAATAGGCGATGCTTGGTTACAATTTCGAATTCGTTATTATATATTTGCTCTCATTTTTGTTGTTTTTGATGTTGAAACGGTTTTTCTTTATCCGTGGGCAATGAGTTTTGATGTATTAGGGGTATCCGTATTTATAGAAGCTTTCATATTCGTGCTTATACTAATTGTTGGTTCAGTTTATGCATGGCGAAAGGGGGCATTAGAATGGTCTTAATTATTGACTATTTAGACAATAAAAAAAAAAACATTGAGACAATTATGAATTCCATTGAGTTTCCCTTACTTGATCAAACAACCAAAAATTCAGTCATTTCTACTACATTAAATGATCTTTCAAATTGGTCAAGATTATCCAGTTTATGGCCGCTTCTCTATGGTACCAGTTGTTGCTTCATTGAATTTGCTTCATTAATAGGATCACGATTCGACTTTGATCGTTATGGACTAGTACCACGATCGAGTCCTAGGCAGGCAGACCTAATTTTAACAGCGGGCACCGTAACTATGAAAATGGCTCCTTCTTTAGTTCGATTATATGAACAAATGCCCGAACCAAAATATGTTATTGCTATGGGAGCCTGTACAATTACGGGGGGGATGTTTAGTACCGATTCTTATAGTACTGTTCGGGGCGTGGATAAGTTAATTCCTGTGGATGTCTATTTGCCGGGCTGTCCACCTAAACCGGAAGCCATCATAGATGCTATAACAAAACTTCGTAAGAAAATATCTCGAGAAATCTATGAAGATCAAATGAGTTCTCAACGAGAGAATAGATGTTTTACTACCAACCACAAGTTTCATGTTGGATGCAGTACTCATACGGGCAATTATGGTCAAGAATTCTTCTATCAACCGCCATCTACTGTCAGAGATACTGTCTGACACATTTTTAAAAATAATTAAATAAAAAAAAAAAGTGCAGGATCCTCCCATAAAGCAGTGAATTGGGGAGGATCCTTTTGTTTAAAGTACAATAATAAATAGAAAATTCCATTTTTAAAAATTTCATCGTAATGTAAATAGGAAATACTAATACCAAATTCCTAAAAAAAAAATAAAGGAGAAGTAAAAAATGCAAGGTCGTTTGTCTTCTTGTTTAGTCAAACATGGATTAATTCATAGATCATTGGGTTTCGATTACCAAGGAATAGAGACTTTACAAATAAAGCCCGAGGATTGGCATTCTATTGCTGTCATTTTATATGTATATGGTTACAATTATCTACGTTCCCAATGTGCCTATGATGTAGCACCAGGAGGACTATTAGCTAGTGTATATCATCTTACGAGAATAGAGTATGGTATAGATCAACCCGAAGAGGTATGCATAAAAATATTTGTCGCAAGAAAAAATCCCAGAATTCCTTCTATTTTCTGGGTTTGGAAAAGTGCGGATTTTCAAGAAAAGGAATCTTATGATATGTTGGGAATTTCTTATGATAATCATCCGCGTCTGAGACGTATTTTAATGCCTGAAAGTTGGATAGGATGGCCTTTGCGTAAAGATTATATCGCCCCAAATTTTTATGAAATCCAAGATGCTCACTAAATGATAAAAATAATAAACTAATCCACACTTCTGCAACCCTTGATATTCAAGGAATAGCTGTATATTCTCTTATAGATCAGACAAAGTTATTGAAGTTAAATCAGACAGAATAATGGAAGTCTAATTCATCTATTTTTATGTATGTCATAAATCACCAAATTCATAAATAAGATAATAATGTAGGTATTTCAAAATAGGGGTTCTTTGAGATTCTAAAATATGAACAATACTTATTATTTCGTATCAGCCAAGCCCATAAATAGGATGAACTGCAAAAATTCGTTATCATGAACTATATAACGTACACATCAACATCAATTATATGGCCACGAAAAAGAAAAAGTAACATCAAAGGAGATGAATAATATGGAAATATAAAAAAACAAAGAAATGGGCTAAATTCTATTTGTGTAATCCATCTATAAGATTAATTTTGACTATTCCAATTCCACCCCTGAACTCTCTTAGACTAGACTTTTAGGAGGTCTTTGAACCAACTAATTAAACCATTCGAATATTATGGAAATATTAACTTTTAGAGCGCAGAAAAAGGGAAACAAAATAAAAGAATTTCTTATATATATACAACGAATATCCCTAATAAAAAAAGCATCTCTTCTTTTAATCATCTATTAAAAGTATATCTACAGATACTTAAATATATAAAAGAAAATATGTATCATAATCTAGAGTACAATTGTATATGTATCTATTCCCCATATTCATTTAAATGAGTATGGGGAATAGATACTCATACAAATGAATCATGTGCCAGGAACCAGATTTGAACTGGTGACACGAGGATTTTCAGTCCTCTGCTCTACCAGCTGAGCTATCCCGACCATTCTTGACGCATAAGCCTCATCTTTTATTTTAAAAGATTACTAGAGTATATGTCAATGAATCTAAGTAAACTAAGTAAAAAAAGACAAAAAATTAAAAATTATAAGTAAGTTTCATTATTATAAGTAAGTTTCAGTAATAGTAATTATTTTGTATCGTTAATCATGCATATGAGGATTCCTTGCTCAAAAATAAGATATTCATTTTTTTTATTATCATAAAAAAAATTATACGTGTTTCACACAAATAATTACATATTTCAAAGATGCTCTATATATTCCAAAACTTGTGACTCCTAATTATGATAAGAAAAAGAAAAATTCCAATTTCTTTGTGAAAGAATAAATGGAATAAAACACATAAATAACGACTTAAAGACAGAGAGGATATAGGAAAAAGAATTTGAAAGTTAAAGAGGCCCTTTGGTTGGGGATAGAGGGACTTGAACCCTCACGATTTCTAAAGTCGACGGATTTTCCTCTTACTATAAATTTCATTGTTGTCAGTATTGACATGTAGAATAGGACTCTATCTTTATTCTCGTCTGATTGATCAGTTCTTCAAAGGATCTATCAGATTATGATGGAGTGAATGATTTGATCAATGAATATTCCATCTTTTCTTCAACTTTGAATTGATTTGATTCACATCTTTTCCATTTGTTAGAACAGCTTCCATTGAGTCTCTGCACCTATCCCTTTTTTATTATCACTTTTTAAACTTTTATTTCTTTTCGGAAAACAGGATTTGGCTCAGGATTGCCCATTGTGAATTCCAGGGTTTCTCTGAATTTGAAAGTTCTCACTTGGTAAGTTTCCATACCAAGACTCAATCCAATTAAGTCCGTAGCGTCTACCAATTTCGCCATATCCCCCTCTTTTTTATTTGAGATTCGAATTTCATTAGAATATTTTGTTCATTTCTATTATGAAAATGATGCGGGAACTTTTGAATTCATTAAATACAAATTCTTTCTTATATTGAAAAATCTTTGCTCCTTTCTTTTTTATTGATTTTCTTTCATCTATGTTGGATACCATTATTTGGTTGAATCAGAAATGATTCTATTATCTCTGTATTCACAATTCAATATACACAGATATATACCATATATCTATCTATATTATATGCCCCTACTTCTAGTATTTTTTTATGTAATTAGGAATACTCGAATGGTCGATTCTCTTTTTTTTCGTCTTAGTTTTTTATTTTTCCGAATGAAAACATGGGAATCTTTAATTATTATCTGGGTTGGACTTTTCTTTTTCTTTCCTTTTTTTGTTTAAATAAATAATCCATTTATTCATATAGAATTAATATAACTAAAATGAATTTAATGGCCATAAAAAACCATTATTTTCTTTTAATGTCGAATTCATTTCGAAATATTGAATTCCTAGTTACTTACTCAAATTTACTTTCATTTTAATATATATATATTTTAATAATCCAATATATAATAATAAAATATCTTATAATTCTAATGTATAAATCTATAGATTATACATATTTTAATTTAAAGTATAATCTAATCATTACATTATTATACATTCTAAACATTATTATACATTCTAAACATTATTATACATTCTAAAAAAAATTCAAATATTTGATTTCGAATTCTAAATACTATTACTAAATACGATTATTGATACTAAATACTAGTATCTAAATACTCCTATAGTAGTATTGTATATTCTATCTATCTATATATAGATAGATTTGATAAATCTGTCGAAATATTATATATTAATTAATATATTATTAATCCTTATCTTGCACTTCATGTTATATACTATGTTATGTACTAAATCAAATAAATATTAAATATTGGATACTCTATATTTTTTCTGTGTTCGTATTAATTTGAATTATCTTATAAATAACTAACAATTAATAACTAAGATCCCAGCAGTTTATGAAATTCCGATGCATACGCAATTTTGGCTATGTTAGCCCGCTTAGCTCAGAGGTTAGAGCATCGCATTTGTAATGCGATGGTCATCGGTTCGAATCCGATAGCCGGCTTTTCTCAATTTGTTTTTTATTTTGTTACATAATTAAGAATTTCTTTAAAAAAAAATGCAGAGAGTTTGATCTCTGTGGAACAAATCAACAAAAGAACCTACTTTTTTTTTTTTTTATATACAATAGTTGTATTTTTTTTATATACATTTTTTATATACAATAGAATAAAGTTCGGATATTGAAAAAATGAATTGAATTATTCTTTTTAGTATAATACTTTAGTGAATTTCGCTTCATTTATAATATTTTTCATTTAGTTTAGTTTTAATTTTGATTTATAAGATTGGATTTTCCATAAAAAAAGGAGTCTTTATGTCACGTTACAGAGGACCTCGTTTCAAAAAAATACGCCGTCTGGGGTCTTTACCAGGACTAACTCGTAAAAAGCTAACAGTCAAAAGCGAACTTAGAAATCAATCGCGATCCAGTAAAAAATCTCAATATCGTATTCGTTTAGAAGAAAAACAAAAATTGCGTTTTCATTATGGTCTTACAGAACGACAATTGCTTAAATACGTCCGTATCGCCGGAAAAGCTAAAGGATCAACTGGTCAGGTTTTATTACAACTACTTGAAATGCGCTTGGATAACATACTTTTTCGATTGGGTATGGCTGCGACGATTCCTCAAGCCCGCCAACTAATTAACCATAGACATGTTTTAGTTAATGGTCGTATAGTAGATATACCAAGTTATCGTTGCAAACCTCAAGATATTATTACAGCGAAGGATGAACAAAAATCGAAAACTCTGATTCAAAATTATCTTGATTCAGCCCCCCGTGATAAATTGCCAAATCATTTGACTCTTCACCCATTCCAATATAAAGGATTAATCAATCAAATAATAGATAATAAATGGGTTGGTTTGAAAATAAATGAATTACTGGTCGTAGAATATTATTCTCGTCAGACTTAAACCTAACTAAAATAACAAGAGTTTTTATCCGAGGATTTTCCGACATTCATATATCATAGACATGATTCATATATCATAGACATGGATATAGGAAAATTTTAATTCCTTGCTCACTTTTTCCACTCTTTTTTATATTACCGAAAAAATTAGGAATAGAGAGTCCATATCAAAAAATTGGAAATAATGGTATGCATTGTTATTTGAAACATTGTGATGGGTAATATTGATTAATTTGTTAAAGATTCGGAAAGAGAGGGATTCGAACCCTCGGTAAACAAAAAGCCTACATAGCAGTTCCAATGCTACGCCTTGAACCACTCGGCCATCTCTCCTACATAATGATGTCCAGAAACCGGGTGAATAGTGAATTCATTCATATTTTTGATAAATGCATAAAACCTATCCAAACTAAAAAAATAGAAAGATAAAAATTAGAAAAACCCTCCTACAAAGCCTTAGGATAAACCAATTGGATTAATGAATCTGTTTTTACGTTATTTCGCACTGTATTGTACAATTCCTTTATTTGTGTATTTGTGGGATTGATTTATTTCTCACACGATAAATAATTTAATTATAGAATGAATTTATACCTATGCCTAGATCTCGGATAAATGAAAATTTTATTGACAAGACCTTTTCAATTGTAGCCAATATCTTATTACGAATAATTCCGACAACTTCGGGAGAAAAAAAGGCATTCACTTATTACAGAGATGGTGCGATTTGTATATATATATTTAACCGAAATCGGTAAAAAAATGAAAAAAAAACCACGCTTGCTGAAGGTGAAATTTGTAAAAAAAAAACAATTAATTCCTTCTGTCGTGTATCCTCGATTAATGCAGCCTCATATGCTTGAATTTCAGGTTTCTAGTATAAAGCGAAAGGTTATACTTATGGGGTTAGGTCAACCCTAACCTACTAGTACCGATAGGCAGCATGGGGAAAGAAGCACTACGCTTAGGAATCGACAACACGAAAACTTTGTTTTGTATATATTTGTATATATATCCTTCCATATCTTATTGGGATTGGGACAAACAAGAATGGTTGGGACAATAAACATCCATCTCGTTCGTATTTTGGATACCCGTATAACCATCGAATATTTTTGAAGTGAATAATTCCGGGAAACTAAGCAGCGTTGAGGACAAAGAAATTGTTGAAGTTACTGTCTTTTTATCCAGTACCAAGATACTTAATGTTAAGGAAGAATTTTTTATAGGAAGGTTGGCTAGAGATTTGTTATAAAAACACTAGCCCTGTTCAGTTGATAATGAGAATACTAAAATCTTTTTGGATTCTATGTATTTTTATCATTACATATATAAGGGAGGAGCCGTATGAGATGAAAATTTCACGTACGGTTTTGGAGCGGAGATTCTTTGAACCGAATGACGACCGTAACGGATGTCAGCTCAATCTGAAGGAAATTATGCGGAAGCTTTACAGAATTATTATGAGGCTATGCGACTGGAAATTGATCCCTATGATCGAAGTTATATACTTTATAACATAGGCCTTATCCACACAAGTAACGGGGAACATACAAAAGCTTTGGAATATTATTTTAGGGCGCTCGAACGAAACCCATTCTTACCCCAAGCTTTTAATAATATGGCCGTGATCTGTCATTACGTGCGACTATCTCCAATATAGAAAGAAAAAGAAACGAACAAGCAAAAATACACAAATACTAATATATATATCTATAATATATATCTATATAAAAAATACTAGAAAAAAAAAAAAAGGCTTTCTACATATACATATATCGTCCAAAACAACGATTTTTATCAGCTGTAGCAAAGAAAGAAACTTCATAGAAGTCAAACAAAATATGAAGAAATAGATATGCCTAGATACCCGCTTTTTCTATGGATAAAAGATC